GCAATGCAGCCCCATTCTTAAAGTGATAAACCACATCATTGATTTGCAGGTCATTTGAAATATGGTAACGATTTGCTTCCATAAGTTTTGCAGAAGGAAGCAACTGGAAAAAACTCACTAGTGGTTTGAATATATGAGTTTATAGCTGATTTTACGAAGCTGACCCAGTAAACCTTTGTAGCACTTTCATCCAATTAGAGCTGTAGGAGAAAACACAGCAAACATAAAGCAAATTAAAGGCTTTATTTCGTTAAAACAAAAATCTAGCCGACAATAAGGTAAATCCATGATGAAGTTTTGAAGACTTTCTTTTAATAAAGAACATAATGCTGAGCTGAACCCCAAACAGACTAAGTCTGTGAAGTCTGATTGATTGGTTTTTGTTTATGATTGTTTTGCACAGATGGTAGGTCTGCTCAGGTGCTGCTGTGGGCCAACGTGTCGCTCATCTCCGGCTGTGAATCTGCCTACGGGGATCGCTTTAAACCAGGGATGATGTGTGCAGGTGAGTGCCGGCAAGGCCTCCGAAGCCAGTAGCTGTGATGTGGTGTTAATGAGCTGGTTTGGTTTGTGTGCAGGCGACTTGGAGGGCAACGTGGACTCGTGTCAGGGCGACAGCGGCGGGCCTCTGGTGTGTGAGGATGAGCTCGGGGTGTCCTACCTGTGGGGCATCGTCAGCTGGGGGGAGAGATGTGGGCAGCAGGGGTTCCCAGGAGTTTACACACAGGTAACGCCCCCTTTTCTTTGCCTAGGAGTTTATAAATAGCATGGAGACCAGGTTGACTCTGGTTTCTTCTCCTCCTGGCAGGTTGCACACTACTTTGAGTGGATCCGACTTCACACCGGCTGGTCTGCAGTCACCAGGTTTAATTCCTAAATAGCTTCTCATCGCTGCTGCAGCTCAAACCCATCACCCTGTTGGAGACTTTTACCCGTTAACCCGATCCTAGAAAACACTGTTCTGCTTCATATCGCTGTTAAAATTTTGGAAAATAATAATTATTTCAATACATTCAGACTGTGATTTTTTGCATATTGTCTCAGCATTTTTGTGGTGTTCAAATTATATTTTTAGTTCATAATAAAACAGCATATAAAGGAATTTACAACTATGCAACAAGTGATCGTTCGATAGAGGATCTTTATGCTCATACCGGTTGTTTTGACATCAGTCTAACCGATCCCTGATACATGCTGCTGATTTGTTTGTAAGCCCAGTCTTTAGGCAGACATTGCTATCTCTTCCTTCATCAGATGACCATAATAAAAAATGGTTCAAAGTCTGCAAACAAAAATAAAGATTTATTAAGGAATCAAAGAAACTTTCAGACTCAAATTCTTAAAAGCATTGTAAAATATTGCAGAGTTTTATATATTCCCAAATCATGTGTTTGTGCATTTTTAGCCAATGAGACTTTTTGAAATGACCAGACTCCAAGATTAACTGAACTTCTTACCAGAACAAACCCAGAGCTTGAAAAATCCAGTGGATTTTCTTTTTTTTTTTTTTTTTACTTTTTGGGAAAGAGATAAGGTAACATTTAGGCTACAAAGGTTGATAAAACATGGAGCTTAGCAGGTTGTTTGGTGGGTCTTATGGATGCATCCCAGCAGATGTAACTGAATGATTTCCAGGACCTTTATCAGGATTCCTTCAATCTGATCGAACAGTTTTAAACCAGGCCTGAAGAAATGTGACGTGGATTTCTATATAAAATATAAATTGCTTTCTGGGATTTTATGCATGTTTTCAGCAAATCTTGGAAATCTTTGGCATATTTCTGATTGATCACCTATTTTATCGAGACATCAAGTGTTTTTTCAACCTTTTTCCTAAATCTTAATATAAAGAATTTTAACGGAAGATTAAAGCTCTTAATAAAGATGAGCAGAAACCAGTGTTTTACTTTATTGTCTCATCCGAGAAAATGTTTTAATCAGCTTTCATAAAAAATAAACAAATGCCTAAAAGTGCAAACATGTCATTTAGGGGATGGAGGTTAAAGTTCAGGTTGATCTCTGAGGTTGAATCTGATCGACTGGCAGCTGCAGCTGAATGGCGCTCCTCAGTCTCTGCAGGTCGTCCTCCACCTGGACACAAAATGATGGACGTAATAAGCTCCTGTGGGTCTGCAAATCTCAAATCCAGGAGATGACTCATTTTGACACCAGATTTTGCATTGAATTCATCATTTTGGACTCATTTATCGATCCAACACCAAAAAGGACTCTTAGTGGTTAGTAGTCACCATGATACCTGCTGTCTGAATAGTGCTGGAAGTAAGGAAGGGGGAGGAAAAGGATGCAAGATGCTTCCTACCATAGCTCGTTAAGCATAGGGACCTGCTGACGTTCTTTTCTGTTGATAAGCAGCTATCCTTTGTGTGAGAGGATGTTAAGGCAGAGCCTAATGGTGCGTTCACACTGAACGCAAACACTGTCTGCTTTTGATCATCTTGAAATTTGCCTGTCCAATAAAAGCAACTCACAAGGCAGGCAAATTTGATTGGTCAACATCCGCTCTACTCTATGCGTATTTCCTGTTTGGTACCTTATTGGCTTGTTTTGTTTGCATGACCGCCATTGTGGAAAACGACTCGTGAAATTGGACTAGGTAGAAGACTGAGGTGCGCGAGAACGCTGGGACCCTTTTTCTACCTGGATCCGTCACACCAAGCATGCTTGTAGCGACAGTGGAGAGGAAAAAATCCCTTTTAACAGGAAAAAACCTCCAGCAGAACCAGGCTCAGTGTGAACGGCCATCTGCCGAGGCCGACTGGGGTTCAAGGAGACAGAAGCAGACATAGAAAAAGAAGCTGTAAAAGGAAACACACAGCCAGGCAGACAAATATATTTAACTTAACAGCTACTAAGAAAAACATAGTGCTTTACCAATCCACTTATACACTCAATGAATCATGGGAAATATGAGCCATGAAGGATACTCTAGAAGCATCCTGTAAACTGGACAAAATATATTTCATTCTCCATGGTAACGGCTCTTTCCAGAGCTGAGCAACAGCGTGGCAAAGAAACATTTAATCATTTTGGTGTAAATTAATGAGCTACTAAAAAGCTTTTAAAATAACAAAAGGAAAAATCATACATCTTAAAAACACATCCATCACCTTTGCAAGCTTGTCTTTCAGCTTGTTGTACTCATCAACGTCAAACCTCTCCACTGACGCCTTCTTGTGGAAGTGGAGCAGGAAGTGACGATCCCAGACCTCGTGCATGACGAAATCCTGCAGAGACATTCCTTTGATGTGAAACCCCAATCTAATGTCCACCAAAGCTGCATCCCAAACCTCTGGATCTGACCTGCTTGGTAAGGATGTAGTAGCCGAAGAAGATCATGCTTGTGGTGCAAGATATGAAGAAGGTGACCGGCTCCATTACGTCCCAGGCGAACACGTACCTGGCACAGATTCAGACAAAAACTCAGTGAAAGGCTGGTGAAGCTGCGGGAGTTAGTCTGTGGGGTGTAGCTGCTTACCAGGTGAGGTATCCCAGGAATCCCCCCTGCAGAGATAGGTAGGCCAGCCCCACCCAACCCAGCAGGGTCGCTCGACTCTCTGCTTCCTTCGCCATCAGCATTTTCACCTGATTTGAAAACAGAATGGGACCAAGAACTGTTGAACCAGAGGGTCACAGGGAAGGGACTGTAGCATCAACAGGAGGAGTCCTAAACGTCTTACAGTCTCTAGTGGCTTCAGCTGCTGTGTCAGCTTCTCCTTTTCCACCAGCAGCTCCGAATGCCTGAGATGTAACTGCTTAGGAAGACTCAGAGCAGCGTGGAGAAGGTGGACCGTGTACTTCATGTCATCCAAACCCAGCACGTGCTCATTGGACGAGCCTCACGGACAAACACAAGGTGGATTTATGGAATGAATGAAACACAATGAAGATAAACATCAGTGCTTTGAGTGCCCCCTGCAGACGAGAGAAGGTTTTACCTTGTCCAAGCGAGCGAACGTTGTACGTGTTGTCATTGAGGAGGATCTGAAAGTCATTAATGAGGACAGTTTCCATCAAAGTGCAGGAGGAGATCCTCTGTCCATCTGAGGAAAACAGTAATAGTTTTAAGGACTGGTTGTGCAGTCAACAAGGGGTTAGGGTTAATCAAGGGGGTTAAAGTCCACCCACCAATATCAGCCGCTAACCCTAGCCACAAACTCATCGCCACTGTTAAACCTGAAGGCTAACTGGTGAGCCACTC